CAGGAAGATTTTGACTCTATATTGTAAAGTCTCAATGTAGCATTTTGGTCAACAGTTTTGGAGCAAAGTTTTTATATATAACAAAGTATCTATAAGCTTAAAATGTATTTTATATAAATTATTATCCGGTCAACAAAATATGAAATGTAGTGAATTATTTTAGCATTAATTTTCTTTACTGTGTTTGTTTTCATTTTTAGAAAAAGAAACAAAAAGAATAAAACATCCTAAAAGCATCCAAGTGTGGTAACTCTAGACTTCTAGAAGGGTTAAAGTGCAAGAATGATTAATAATACTTATAATTCCAGCATTATCTACAATTAAGGAAGTTATGATAATGTCAAGAAGACAGTCTTAGACATTTCCCATACATCGACTACACTCTAATAATACAAACGTAACACAGAAAGGGGAGAAAGCATTTATTGAATATAAAATATAAACCAGGCATATGCCTTTAGGTTTTGATTGAACCCTACAAATACTCATGAAGGTGTGAAGGCTTGGAGTGGATCCAAGGTCAGTATGTGGTAGAACAAAGATTAACACCTGACAGATAAACACACATACAAATATACATACACACACATATATATCATAATATACAGGGATTGAAATGAGAGGAAATCACCATAAAATTGAGGGTAAAACCACATGCATTAATTGACATCATCAATAAATAAATCACTGAACTGCACATGGGGTTAAGTCAGGTAGGCATTCTAGGCACATGGAAAGGGCAAATGCATGGCTTAGTGAACAGAGGGCTTTATCAAAGGAATGGGAGTTCACGCCTGTGTGCTGGATGTGCCAAGAGCTCCTCCTGATGGTGCAACCAAGGAACCAACAAACAGAAGTGCCCCTCCCTCGTTCAGCAAGTTTCTTATAGGTATGGATGACACACACTACTACCCCTTACATCTGAAATTCTGCAGTGGAGGAGAGAGAGGGAAAAGAAGGAAGACATAGCCTGCCCTTGAAGATTCTCAGCTCCCAGGGCTGTGTCTGTCCACCCAGCAGAGACATTCAGCATTCAGCTTCACCACAATCTCCCACCAAGCTGACTTTACTCAGGTTGAGAAAACACTTCAGAAACAGATGGGAAAGCTAAAGTGGGTTCTCTGGAAAGCAGCATGGAGGCATGGAATTAAGTGCATCTCTGCAACCAGGATCAGTTGCTGGCACTGGGCTTACCATGCTTATTCATCAAATAAGTTTATCTCATAGTAACCTGCATTTCTTGCTTAAAGCCATGCTGTCCTTAGCAGTCCTCTGACAGATATATTTTGAGATGATTTGATTTAAAAGATATACTTGGGAAACTTTTGTGGCCCATGGCTGGTTTTTATATGGCAATATGGCCCAATTCTCAAGAATGAAGTAAAATTCTTTGTGAGATTGCTGAAGGGCAAGTAGAGTTAGATTTTGGGTGAAGATGACATTTCCAGGTCTAAGCCCTTCAGTCTCTTTCACAAACCCCTAACTTCTCCTCCAGACACATAGCTCATTAGAATGTCAGCAATAGAAACCATAAAGACGGGGTTACATTGCAGAAAGACACCACAATGACATCCATACATCAATCTGAGCTATGCTGTTCAATTATGTGACGTCATCCTCCACTGATCGAGGTATGGCATGCCCACTCTTTTGCAAACATAAACTCTCCTAGGCTTTTATCTTTTTAATTTTATAATGGTCAGGAGCCACTGTAGTACCATTAACAGGGTCGTGGTACTAAGAATAAGGCAGGGGTGATGAGACAATCCCATCTGGAGGTTTTCCTAAAAGGAAGAAGGATGGACTATAGAATTACTAATTTAAGTAAGGAAATTCATGAAGAGAAAGCTTAATTAACAGGAAAGTAGATGTACATGAGCAAAGCACAGGTACAGGTTTTGAATTTCTGCATGTCTTATACAAAGGGTACCGAGATAGTTTCCATACTGACCTGCAGAATTAACTCCTCAGGTTACACCACTCCACAATTAAACTAAGTCATTCCTGAGCATCTCTACCAGCATGGGTTGAGCATACCAGGGAGCACCTGACTCTTCACCACTGATCTCAAATGTAAGAGAATGGACAATTCTGACTGCAAAATATTTCAATCCTCTAATGCTTTCCCATTAACTCATTGTATACTTTATAATCTTTACATAGTTTATATATAAACACTTCATTATCACTCATCTGTCTTAAAATTAGAATATGCAGCACCAGTCTCTGTGAGGGCTTCACTGTGGACAAGGAAATTGACACTCTAGCCATTTTTCAGCTTTTTACAGAATAAAATGTCTCTCTGTCACTCTTGTAATCATTAGCTTGGGAGTTATTTACTTTTCTTTAAAAAGCTAAATTTTAAGCTGAGTGAAATACATGGGTGTTATCAGGCATTGTACAGAGTTCTGTTCACCTTAGTCTCAAAACAGTCCATCATTTGTTGCATGAATCAAGGCTGTGTCCTGGTTACTAGGGAAGTAATGGTGTCAGATTACATAACCTATCGCATCCAGATTCTAGCTTACCCTAAGCTCAAGGAATTTGTGAAGCAAACTTATTAATAAAATATCTGACAGGATCTTCTATTAGAATACCTGTTTATAGCTGTTCCATAACTAATGTTAGTATAGACCTCAGGGTATTAAATAACTTTCACCCATTTTAAAGAGATGAGCAAGACAGATTGCTTCAAATTATTCTTATTTTTCAGACATTGTCTCACTATGTAACCTAGATTAGTCTCAAATTTGTGATCTTTCCCATCTTCCTGAGTACTGAGATTTAGGTGTGCTCCAACCTGCCTTTCTGGTTTTTTTAAAGTCTTTCCTTTTTGAGGCAGTTTCTTATGTAATCTTGACAGTCCTTGAACTCACTGTTTAGTAGAGGATGACCTCCCCTGTGCTGGGATTACAGGCATGTATCACCACAGTTGATTTTATTTAGTGTTGTAGTGCTTGGAGCTGAAACCAGGGGTTTCATGCTCAGCAAGCACTTTGCAAACTGAGCCACAGCCTCCACCTGTCTTCTCTTAATTATAATGAAATATCAGAAACTCTAAAAAATGCCAAGATACATAGAAATTTAACTATATTCATAATGAATAACATTAATCATGAAATAAAATAGTATATTTACAAAACATGCATTAATAGGGTCAGCAAGATGGCTCAGTAGGTAAAAAAAATCCTTGCTACTCGAGTCTGAGGACCTGGATTTGATCCACAGAACCCGTATGTGAGAATCAACTCCCGAAAGTTGTCCTATGATATCTAAATGTACACAATGGCACATATTTTTCCAAACTTACACACACACACACACATACACACACACACACACACAAAGAGTAATAAACATTTTGAATCCCTTTAAGAATGAATTAATTTTAAAAGTAAGTATGCGTTAGAGCCACCTGCCTCAATCTAACGGAGAACAATCAAGGATGACACTTAATGTCAACCTCAGGCCCCACACATGTGTACATACACCCATACATAGACATGTACCCACACATGTGAACACACACACACAATTATTCATATAAAGAACAGAACTACTCATATGAATATACTTCATATATAAGACTTAAAATCACTATTAGCCATAAGAACACATCACTTTATAGAAGCAGATGGCAAGGCCTTATTGTTTGTAATAGGATGTAAACTTTTAAAATCAAGTTCATATTTTCATAATTGTCAACATAGCATATGCTTGAAATTAAAGTTCTTTGTCAAGTTTGAGGTTCTTCAAACTTAATGTCGTGGGTTTTCAGGGTACTAAAGTTTAGTGTAGGCCCAGAGAGATGGCTCAATGGTTAAGAGTATTACTGCTCTTGAAGAAGACCGCAAGTTCAGTCCCCAGCATCCAGGTCAGATGGTTCATAGCCACGTGTTAATTTCATTCCCAGGAGCTCCAACCCCTCTGCCACCACACTTACCTACATTCAGACATATATTCATACACATATTTTTTCAGAAACTATTTTATTCTTTTTTAAATGATTTATTAATTTTTGAGACCTTCATACAATGTATTTTTATCATATTTCAGCCTCTCCAACTCTCCTAGATCCAGCCCCAACTCTCTATATATCCAGGTTCTTCTTCCTTCCTTGTTTTCTCCTATTGAGTCCAATATGTGTTTCCCAAACTCTTGGAATGTGGTCCATCAGTGCCACTCCTTAAGGGAAACTTTCAGGGTCCCTGCATCAACCAAAAGCCAATAGCACCTCAGTTATGAGCAGCACCTCGTGCCCACCTTGCCCTTCCAAGGTTGGATTTTATTTGGCTTGAGCTTGAGGTTTTCAAAAGAATTTTTTTTTTTGGTCTTTCTGAGATAGGGTTTCCCTGCAGCCCTAGCTGCCCTGAAACTTACTATGTAGACCAGACTTGCCTCGAACTCACAGAGATCCACCTGCCTCTGCCTCCCAAGTGCTGGGATGATAGGCATGTGCCACCCAGCCCTTCAAAGAAATCAGTTAAAAATGTAAAATATTTCTGGGTCTGGAGAGATAACTCAGCAGTTAGGACAGTTACTCCTTGACTCTGGTCCCTTATACAGTGATGCTCCAATCAATGAACCAGCTGTCTTCTGCTATGAGGAGTGATCAGAGTTCAGCAAGACAATGAAGGTGGGAAAGGACAGCAGCCATTGGAGGGAGAGCAGCAAAACTTGGCCAAAAACTCAATTCACAGATAAAGAAGTTGAGACTATGAGGCTAATAATCCAATTTTGGAATCCCAGATGAACTACTACATGACTGAATCTGAGTAAAATCATCTGCAAACAAATAATTTGAGGGAAAATTTGCATGGTCAGAGTCATTGCTCCCTTGTGTACTGCCCCTCCTATTACTCTATTCAGAGTTATGTGGTCACTGTGTACTCTCTTCTAACATTAGACATCTAGTTTTGCTTTAAAGTCACTTTAAAGCAAGCGGGGGCGGGGGGACCACCACCACCACCAAATGAATTAAAACTGGTTCTCATCTGTACCTGAGAAATCGGCTGCCAGGAGATCTGCTGCCTTTAAAACCTTCACTTGTAGAAGACCAACATCCTTCATATCTTTTAGAGAGTTCTGTAAGCACTAAGGAGACAAAAGGGTGAGAAGCCAGTGAGAACAGATTGCTAATGCACTGGCAATGCCTTCAAGTTCCGTGGGAAGGATAGTCTCCATTCAACTCCCCTTTTCTCATAAAATTCTTCTTAAAGTTACTAAACTTCTTCATGTCAATCAACAGGAGAGTTAGGCATGTACAGCCAGATTCAAAGAAAACTGACTGAGAATTAATTAACTACAACCTCAAAATAAACAAATTAGAAGCGTAAGCAATCTGCTTTTAACATCGCCCCCTGGTGTTAGCACAGATAACCCACTGGGAAAATGTGTGGGTAGAATGCACTCATTCCCCCCTACCTTTTCTCCTTAACACAACTTTTTAATTGCCCTAAAAGGCAGTATCAATCTGCTCTAGTTAATATAAACTTTATGGATACCATAAGGCTAAACTTGGGCCCATTATGGTTACTTATTACCATTGGAAAGAAATCAGGAATGGAAAGAGAGTAAAATTTCTGGTCTTCGCTTTACCAATTCAATTCAGTAAATGAAAGCTAAAGCTTCCAGTTACACCCTGTAGAAACAATTTTCTTTAGTCTTGAGTTTGCATCATCTGTACACTGAATATACTACTGGTGATTCTTTAGCAGACACAGTGTATTTAGATGTTGCTAAGTACATGCTAGATGTCTCTAAGTACATGGCATCCTTAAAAATCTGTGTGCAAGAGAGAAGCAGGTAACTCTTTTCATCTGTGGAAAAAAAGGGAGCATTAAAACTTTCAGAAAGGCTGTCACCATCATCATGACACAGCTCAAAGACTGTGACAAGTAGAACTCAGTGATTTCTGGGATGATAAAACCTTCACTATGTGATTATGTCAGGGTGAAATAGGAAAATCTTAATACTAAACAAAGTTGTCCTAATCTCATATGCATCAGGTATAAGAGCTTTTGGAAAATTATTGTTCCCTTATATTTTCAACTTAAACCAATCAAAAATTAGCTCTAAGCTAGTATGTATGATTTTTAAATGAAATACTTGTATAACTTAGGGGTAGAAATGCTTTTAAAGAATAGCTATTCTGCTAGGGTGTTGAGCATCTATACCTGTAAGCCCAGTACTCAGGAGGCTGCGGCCAAGCTGGGATACATGGGACATTCTAGGCAACCCTGGACTACATATTAAGACTGTATGAAAAAAAATCAAAACCAAATATTGATTCCTATGGCTTAAGAAACGAATCCAGATCCTGTAACTTCTGCCTTGTGACAGAGCGATCTTTTCCTCTCACAGGCTGGCTCACCAAAGAACCACTCCCGATGTGTGCTTTCATCGTAGTCTTAAATCCTAAGGCATTTTTCAGAGCAGCCATTTGAATGCCACTAATATTACTTTATAAATATAAAGCATGCTCATGTATTTCACAAATTTTGTAATCTACGGAAAAGCTTGGAGAAACTGTCGATTTTCACTTTCAAACTTTTATACGCTTAACTCATCCTCAGAGAGAACATCAATAGTAAATTCTATCCAAACTTCAGACTATGACCAACTGGCATGCAGTCTCTGTGCTGACAGCAAGATGTGTGTCTAGGATTTTCACTCTCCGAGATAAAGAATTATTCAATTAATCAATACACCTGCATGATGAAGGCTTCTAGTGGCACTAGACTTTACTCTGAGAATGATGCAGCCATTGAATAAAGATTCATCTCTGTTCATTTCCACTCTGCATTCTTATAACACATCTCCCAGGGCTAAAAATAAAGAAAATGTATTGATTGACCAGGAAGAGTAGACAAAAATAGAATGCAAATAAAGGCACCTAGAAAGCCAGAGTACAATAAATAAATAAAATAGATGCTGAGTGGACTGTTGAACACATGGCAGTACTTAGGCAAAATCATACACTGATTTCAACCCCTAGGTGATAGAGAATAAGATGTTCATCTGTCTCATGCTCTTCTAGGCATGGGCACCTTCCTCTTTGACCCTAAAACTTTCTCTTATCTGTATTACACTGAGCATTCATGTTTAGCTGGAAAAGTTGCTCTTGTGACTGTCGGTTCAAATTCCCACTTACATCCACAGATAATGCTAAACTCAGTCTTCTTCCTTGAGGATTTCAGTATTCTGCAACAACTTCCAAATAACATTGTCTTTTCAAAAGTTTATTTTCCACTTTCTCGCTAACGCATTAACCCCTAAGCCTGCTGCCTTGTTTTATGAAACACACAAACCTGGTACAAAGACCTCTTTTGATGCAGTTTTTCAATTCATAGACTTGGTTTCAACTTAAAAGTGAAGTTGGTGGGAGGGAGGGGAAATGCAACAAGGTAAAGTACTCACATATCGCTGGGAAATCTGCTTTCTTTCGCTGGGGTCCTCAAAGGGGCAGACACAAAGATCTGAGATGGAGACTCCTGTACAGGGAGTCAGTGTGATCAGCATAAGGAGTGCCCCCAGGCAGCTCTCCAGAGGCAGCTCCAAGCAGTTGTCCTGCTTCAATGGGAGTGCAGAGATGTCCACTTTACACCTAGAAACATTTCAGGAGTCAGAGAAAGAGAAGGGCTTAACTCAAGGCCAATGGGAACCTCCAGGACCCATGTTTTGTACAAATTTCCTCATTCTCAAACCTGTCAAGACACAGGTGAAGTTGCCAGGGACACCCTGGCTCAAGATCCCCGCAGCCTAATGTGTTCTAAAATGAAGGAGTGCAGCATCAGGGGGTGGCAAGCAAAAAAAATCAAAAGTCAGGTCTTTGCCAAATAAGGCCTACAATTGAACCATAGTACTAACAAGTAGGGAGCAAAGGATTGTATAAATGTCAGTATCATGCATGGGTTTTCTACAGGATTTCCCTGCCCTAAAGGAAGAACCATCAGTTCACACACAGAAAGAGAAAAGTCAAGACAATTGCATGTGGGGGAGAGTGAACAGAGAAACCATTTTCAACCCAATTGATGAATGCCAACTGGCAAATTTTTATTTAAAGAAACGTGTTGAGTTGTTTTCCTAATAGGCAGGGTTCCACAGGCTTTCCCCAGGTGGGTTTCTTGTGGACAAATGGAGCATGAAGTGTTGTTGATTGATCCCATTTCAGCAGCACTCATCTGCTAGAAATTGCATGTTTTCCGCCTCTTAAGAGCCAATGTTCTGGAGCTGCTGAAAAACCTCAAACACATTTAAATACAGAAGCAAACTCCCCAGCGTGGGGGAAGGGAGGACTTAGGTGCTAAGCCAGTTGTTTGCTTTAACAGTGAAAGCTCTGGCTTTGCCTGGACCACACCTTCTAAGTTTATGTGCAGGTGGGTAAAAAAGCCAAGAAAGCACTGGGGTTGGGGAAGGCAGGCAAAAAAGCTCTGGGATTTAATTATTCTGTATAATCCTCCCCAACTCTGTACAATTATGAATGTGATGAATATTCACGATTTTTGAAAAGAATAGAAGCACTGCCTCTCACAATGAGCTGAAGTGTATTTTTTCCAGAAATCCTCAATAGACTTTGTGTATCAGCAGACAACTAGAAACAGGTAACCTTACTTTATGTACCGCAATAACAATTTTGAGACACATGGACGTGTAGATAAAGATCTTCCAGTGCAACAAAGTGGAAAGACTGTGGTTCCCTTCTCAATTAAAACAGGGAAAAAATAAATGACAAATCCATTCCAGTTTTATTATAGGATGAAAATACTTCTCATAGGGACACATGACTGTAAAATTAAACACATATAGGTATTTATTTGTCATTTATTGAAAGTGACCCCAATTATAGAGAGTAATCATTTTGATTTGTTTTGCATATAAGAAATTTATCGAGTATTTCTACTAGAAATAAATTATACATATATGGTTTCTAAGCTTTTCATCAGAATACTATTTTTTACAGCAATAAGAAGCCTTTATAAATTTAATGTGTTTCTACCCATGAAAGAGAGGTTACTTAGTATTTTTGTCTCATAAGCAATTACTTCAGTGGGGAACTAAATTTTCATAGTAAAAAAGACATAGCAAATGCTTCATGGCATCTCAAGAAAACTACAAACTCCCATCTTCTTAATATTACCAGAGTAGATGTATTTAAGAGTATTATTTTACATTGTTAAAGACTCTTAATTGGTAAGAGGATCATACTTTTTTCTAAGTTATCACACTGGAAAAGTTTACTCTATTTTTCATGTGACTTCAAATTGCCTCTTGTACTTAGGAGCTTATACACAAAATCCATTGACAACTTAGGGAAAAATTCAATTTTAGCTCATTGTGGGAGGAAGTACTTTTTATTGTTTCCTAATATTGCCAATCTTAACTCTGTAAGATATAAGCAATTTAATACATTAACTAGAGACATCTTTAATACTAAAATATTGAAAGGATAATTCAGAATCTTTCTTTTCTATTTTACATTAGTGTTCTCAGATAACATAGAAAATAATGTTGTTGGTCTTCTAAAGTTTTTTTAGTTTATTCTCAAGACTGGCAAAACCTTTTGCTGTTTTCCAAGGTTTTCTGTAATCTTTTTAGCTCCCTGTTATGGACAGACATTGGAGTAACCTGTACCAGCTACGAGGAGGATACAAGATTAGCCTCCGCCAGCTATGGGAAGGACACAGGGTATTACTCACACCTAGACTACTTTTTCCAGGGTGGAATGGAAAGCCAGTCCTTTTACTTTCTAGGCTATGCTATTTCTATTGAAACTATCCAACTATGTCCTCATAGCAGAAAATAGTTCACAATATAAACAAACGAGTGAGATTATTTGCTTCAGTCTAACGCTCTCCCAAAAGAGCTATTTCGGCATGACTGAGATTCTTTTCTAATAAAACTTTATTCATCAAAAGAAAAAACAGGCAGTGATTTACCTTTGGTCCATGAATCCTAGTTTGACAATCATGATCTATAGAAATGCTATGAATTTGGCTGTGGTGAATTACATTCTTAAGTACATGCATAACTACAAGGTTGATTTAAAGTAACACAAACAGATCAATAAAAATATCAGATATAGTAATCTGAGGATAATTTTAAAAATAATTTTATTGCACTATAGAATAAGAAGTTATGTCAAAATACCCAATGATGTTCTTGCTAATAGAGAGATAAACAGCGGTTATTATGAAACAGCTGTACTGTCAGACGGTATGGAACTCACCCACACAGTTCTTCCTTATAAGATATTTGAATAATGAACATTAAGGAAGTAGGCGTGTTCCCATAGCATTGTGTTTTACTTCCCAGGCAAGGAGAGTGACCATACCTGGACACTTAGTGTGTTTGAAACATTGGGCCCTGGGGTAGTCAAAGAACTGACATACTAGGTTCAGACCTTAGCAAATGCAACTGATAGACAGGAAATCTGCAAGAATTCAAATATTCACCACTTAAATCAAGTCAGCACAGTCCCTGGTGTATGTGAAGCTAGAAAGGAGAGGCCACTGTTCCTCTGTAAGACAGGGACTCCAAGGCTTCCCTCTCCAACTGCATCCAGGGACATCACCAGCCAGTTTTACTATTGTCAGGCTTCTATGGGAAGAAGGTGCTTATCTCCTACGTAGACACTTGCCTGCATTTCTGTATTTATGCTGTCTTCCCAAGCTCTTCTGCCAATTTCCTTGTCCTACTCCCATTCTCTGTGTGAGTGAGTGTGTGTGTGTGTGTGTGTGTGTGTGTGTGTATGTTGCATACATGTGTATGAATGTGATTGTGTGCATGTACCAACACAAATGTGTGGGGGTCAAAAGACAACTTTAGTTGTTGGTTGTCACCTTCCACCTTGTTTCAGACAGCATCTCTTTGTTGTTTTCCTGTTGCACAACCCAGGCTGTCCGGGTCACAAGCTTGAAGGCATCCCTATATCCCTATAGGAGCACTGGGATTACAGAGGCTCCCACTATGCATCTGACTTTTCGGTAGGTGCCTGGGAGTTGCTGTTGACTTCACCCTTACATGCAATCTCCTTTGCCACTGATTACTAACCTTCCTTGTCCTGCTCTCTGCCACCCCCCTTACTTCAAATCTCAGTTTATACCACTCTGTTTGCAGAAAGCTGCCCCATTCACCCAGAAGCTCAAATTAAATCACATGGTGCTGGAATCTCCCCTCATGTCCATCTGATGGCTATTGTCTGCTGCTTGAAGCAGCCCAAAATTTAGTGCTTAAGGGGTGGCAGCTTTATCTGCATTATTTTGCGATGAGTCCTTCCTGGTCTGCCATCTTCCCCTGCATACAGTGGTGTCTATACTTGTGACTAAAATGAATGAACGAACAAAGAAATGCCAGAGAGGTAAGAAAACCCAAGCACTCCAAAATCTCAAATAATGAAATCTGTCTCTTTGGTTAATTATTTTTCAGTTTCCCTTTATTCCCCTGTGTAGAAAACAACTGAAATAAATGCATTTCTTGTGTTGAAAATTCCACAGTTCTAGTTACCTGAAGGAAATAAACTACTTTTTTTTCTGCTACAGACATGTATTAAAGCTTTCCTATCTCACTCACAGACTGTTAAAATGCTGATTTAACATTGTTTCTGACCTCCCATTCTTGTCTTCTCCATTAATCCCACAACATTTTAATGTTTTAATTCCACACATAATTTTGCCATATCAGTCAGCTGAACCTGCTCAACTTTTCCTTACTGAGATAGCTTTTAACCTCTCATTCATTACCATAATTCTATGCTTATATTACAGACTGGTCAGCTTTTAACTTAAATGCAAAGGGCAGGAAAAGAGTACTATAGTTTTAAAAGCTGTAAATCTCAGAGGCTAAGAAAGTGGGTGAACGGGAAGAAAACGGTGAATGTGTCAAGCCTGGCTGTAAAAGTAGATCAACGACATGGGGTGCAATTTGTCCTGAGAAATATTCCAGCCCAGATTGTTCACTGCCTCAAAGCCACTAATAAACTGGCAGGACGTCTGGGCCACTTTGTATCCCATCTGGGACCAAGGAGTGACTGTGAGGGAGGTCAAAACAGGCTTATGCATTCTCATTCTTAACCTTTGCAAACTAAATCTGGAATATTCTTGAATCTCTAAAATCACCTTGAAATGGAAAATATTCACTAAGAAAATGATTTCTTTTAGAAGCACAAAAGGCAATGATTTATATTTATATCTATCTTGCATGTTTTCATTTCATTAAAAACAGAAGCTGGGGGATAGTTCAGAGAATAAAGAATTTGCCATCCAAGCAAGAAGACCTGAGTTCAGATCCCCAGCACCCACATAAAATCTGGGCACAAGAGCCTGCTACTGCAACTCCAAAACTTGGGGCCCAAGACAGAAGGAAACCTGGCGCTGGCTAGCCAGCCAGCCTACCTGATCAGGTAGAATCAGGTTTCATGAAAGATGCTGTTTCAAAAGATAAAATGGAGACTGACAGAAATAGACACATGGAATCAACCTTTGACATCTGGACATGTACACATATGTTAGCATACCTGCACTAGCACATATGCATCACACACACACACACACACACACACACACACACACACACACACAGCTGGTGCACATTATACTTAGCCTTATGTCATCCTTTTCATACATGAAAAGTTCACTATTCCTGTTTGAGATCTGACACTTTATTTATATGGTTACTTTGCAATGAGCAGACAATGGAATCAGGCAACACTGTCTCAAGAGATGTTGGCTCTTACCAACGCATTTTTATCTCTTTAGTTCCATCTGAAGGTCAGGTAGAGCCTAGAGGTGGATAGGCTATGTCCCAGGAGAGGTCAGACTCAGGAGAACCTCCAGAGCAGTAGGTGCAGGCAGAGCCATGTTGAAGTGACCTCCAAGTTAAATGACCACCAATGCTGTGTGAATGCACCTTCTATAAACAAAGGCTACTCCAGGCTTTTCAGCTATGAATCCCCAGAATCATTAAGACTAGCCTCTGCTTCTTATTCTTCAGTCTGTGGACATCCTTGAAAATGCCCATTGCTCACTATGCCAATTTTTTTTCAGATCTATAATATTTTTAAAAACATACTGAATTTTACCAGTTACATTTGCTTAAATACTATACTTCTTGTTGCAAATATCATAAAAATCTATAGTTGCCATGCAGAAAATTTCTAAAATTATTAGCAGTAATACTTGCTGTATGCAATGTCAATGGATACCACTACTGTTTCTAACCTTGAAAGCCAGCCAGGGACTCCATTATACAGCTAAAGAACAAGGCTCAAAGTAGTTCACTGCCAAGGTCACGTAGTAGCCCTCAATGCAATGCTTCTTTCCCATGTCAAACTATCTACAATGAGAAGCTTCACCAAGAATTTACATAGACTTGAAAGTACTAACATGTGGATGTTCTCCAAAATAAAATAGAAGATGGGCCTTAGGAGACAGCGAGCACTCATTTACATTGCTAGAGTCTTCTTCAGAAAAACAAAACAAAACAAAACAAAAATGATGTATTTTCTCAAGAGTTGGAAACAAGAATAGCTAAGCATTAGTATAACACTACAAAAAAACATAGGAAAATGTAGGGGAGAAAAAGTGGAGCATTTGGGCTGGTGGAATGGCTCAGCAGGTAAAAACACTTTAAAGGTACTTGTTGCAGAAATCAGTCCACCCAAGTTCAAACCCCAAATCCACACTGGAAGGAGAGAATAACTCTTGAAAGTTCTATCTCCACATACATGCCTTGGCATGTGTGAACCCACACTCACACATACACATACACCCATGATAATAAATAAAATTCAAATTTTAAATTTGGGGAACCTAAATTAGACTTGGCAGGTCTTTCTTTTTTCAAAAAGAAAAAAATAATAGAGGACATAAAGTTGGCAGATAGTGTTGGGTGGGATGAAGAGGGAGAACTTCTGAATAATATAAAACCTATTATATAAAATTCTCAAAGAATTAATATTTTATAATTTTTATTTAAGCTGAAAATTTTAAAAATACTAAGGAACAGCATGTAATTTGTCAGATTATATATACATATATAACACATATATGTGGGTGTGTATATGCATGCTGACACGATAGCATATTAAGCAATTTATTTATAGTGAGACACTGTCTTGTTGTACAGCCTAGGCATACCTCAAACTTACAGTCTTCCGGCATCACCCTCCTGAGTGCAGGGATTATAAATGTGGACCGTGATATCATGCCATCATATCCCCTTTAAATCTGAGAAGCAGTATTCTATTTGATGGCACATTTCTCTCCACCTGCATATCCACTGCAGGGCAATGCTATGTAATGACAGTTCCCAAGAGATATTTTTGTTAACTTTTGTACTACAAGAGAGGAAAAAGGAAAAGGAGACCAAAAAAGAAACAAAATCCTTTACAATTCATAAAGAGGAAGGGCAGAATGACCAAAGACAGGTAAACTTCTCAGTTACAAACAGGAAAGAACTAAAATAGTAGATGAATATCCAGATGACAAAACCTGGGCCGTACAGGACATCTTCAGTCATTTTGGTTTTTGTCTCTGTGAAGCAAACTAAGAATCATTTGGAAAAGCATTTCCTATTATGTGATAGAAATATGACAGCACAGCAACATGTGTCATGCAAGGCTTTATCCTCTGCAACTACTAAAATAACCCATGAGCCATTCATCACAGAAGGAATGATATCCACTATACAGATAACACATTGGGACACAGAGTTCTCTGAGTTTTCTAACTGAGCCTTATTCCAAAGTTTCTGAACCTACTGTTCTTGACACTGTCAGGGCCCTGGCATGCCAGAGAGCTGAGGATGTTGGAGGTACTGAGAAACATCTGTGGCAGCTCAGTCACCCTGTGTAAGCAGAGGAGAAAGAAACAGCATCAGACTGGTAACTGGAAAAGAAGTATCCACAAAACACCAGCCCCTAACTGCTGTATCTGGGGTCTGAGACATGACCCTGCTGGCTCTCCAAGGCATACAGCAGGCCTGGGGACCTGTTAACAAAGCAGTAGCCACTGTCCACCAAACAAGATAGACAGCAAAGTGTGCATGAGGGGATACTGGTGTTGGGTAGGTACAAGGCAAGGCCAGCAGTTAGGCAGGTACAGGTAAAGGGTGGGTGACCCACTGATGTAGTTTCTGGCTGTGCTCTTCCTCTAGCAGGTATTTGGACATGCATGATGGAATATAGACCCAGTATGTACAGGCATACACTATGCTTCCCTATAACATTCATGGGGAATTATTGGCATCAAGTGCATCGAGGACAGCCAGGTCTGCTAAAAGTGCCTTGCAACATGTCGGATAGCACTACTTGCAGAAATATCTTGAAACATGTCAAATAGCAACACAGGGTTACTGTATTGAGAAACGAGGGAAGACTGTCCATGGATGCCTAGCTCCCCTCTCAGGGAGGATAGGACCCAGACAAGAAGACCTAATACTGTGGCTTCCATAGACTATACTAGAGCTTTAAAGAGAAAACCACTGTCTGAACCATTATTTAACTGACATCATGCCATTTCTCCCTCTATCTTTTTGCTGGAAAAAGTATTTTACCTTCCTAGGTCTCTGCATTTCCTCATTGTAAAATGTATGGGTTATAGCAGATGAGGTTTTAAAAAAATGTTTAGTTTTAAGTAATAAGACCCCTTCCTTGGTTGGAATCCCAAACACTGTGGTGTCCAGGCTGCACAGGAGAGGTGAAAAAGGCTGTCCACCCCTCAGAGGTGGCCCCCGTGCTTCTCCTTGAGCCCAGGCTTCAGGCTGGAGTCAGATAACCAATAGGTACCCACATCCATCTACACTTTTGTGTTCATCATTTAGGATTTGTGTACAAATTATATTTCCATGAACAAAACCAAAGGGAATGATTTGATAGAAAGACTAAGCCCTTTAAAACCCAAAGCTGGGCTCTGGAATTCTCTGTTCTCAAGCCCCAGGCCAAGTCATGTGACAACTTGTACTGCCTTTCCTCATCTCCAAAATGATCATAAGGCCATTAGTTCACAGGTGAGCTTCCCCAGGTTACCATCCCTAGTCACGATGCACGTGCTGACTGACTGTATTGCATTCTTCACTACAACCTACGCAGAAGCTGTCATACGCATGCTATGTCAGTTACCCATGGGTGAACACCTCAACTGAGTTGATAAGAGCCCAATGAAGGGGCTGGAGAGATGGCTCAGTGGTTATGAACACTGACTGCTCTTGCAGAGGACCCTGGTTCAATTCCCAGCACTGACATGGTGGCTAAGAACCATCCTTAACTCCAGTTCCAGGGAATCCAATGTCCTCTTTTGACCTATGTAGGACTGCATGACATGGGTGCATTCACCTACATTCGGGCAATACACTAGTACACATAAAATAAATAAACTATTTAAAAAATGTACCCAAAGTAAGAAAATGAAAAACAAAACCATTTGGCCACATTATATTCCATTATAGCTTGCCACAAAATACATTAAGGACGTCGAAAAGTTTCTATCATGGTGGATAACTCGCCTTCAAGTTTTACTTAATCATACAATATTTTGTTAAACTAAAATGAAATATTGGAAGTTTTATACACATGTCCCAAATAGTCTGAAACACCATATTAACTTTCCCTGTAGATTTCCTGACTTATAAACTTGGGCTCTTTGAACTCACAGGTTTCACCTGCATGGATTCAATGAACCTTGCATTAAAAAAATTAAGAATATGTCTATATTAAACATGTGAAGACATTTTCAGGATCAAATAATACAGTCTAACAACAGCTTCCATAGATTTTACATTATATTGGGTAGTATAATCTAGAGATAAAGCATATAAATATGCAAATAGCCATAGTATTTGTATGCAGATATGACAGTTTTCTATAAAGGAATGACCATTCTGAACGGTGGTGTCAGCAAGGGTTTGTGGAACTGGTAGCCCATGGACATTTACCAGTTAAAGAACTCATCAGGACTGGCTGTCCAGCTTACTGATAGCACTTTAGGTTTGGGATCTGGGTCACTGCTCTCAGCCCAAACAGAGAAGACATTCTCTCAGAGCCATCCCTACAGACATTGGCTCCCACCCCAGTAGTAGCAGGGTGACTCACGTGCCAAGTCGCTCCTCATGCTTTTTGCTGTCCTTTCCCCACACTTCAATGTCCAAAATGCCCATCCTGTCAGAGAAGTAGTGAAAGTCAAACTGTTCCTGCCACTGCGGGTTTGCACTCTTACACAGTGTCTAGAAAACATGCAGTTACAGTGTTTACTTTCTCAAAACGCCAGTCATTGCTCTATTAGCTACACAGTCATGTCATATCTACAGGGAGCAAGGCCACCATCGTGGGTTTATCACCATCGCGGCTTGGACTCTTAGCAAGATACACTTAATTTTCTGGAATGAGAGGAATCTCATGGGGTCAGAAACTGGCAAAACATGACTACTCTCTTAGCTGACCCCCAAAGTCGTTAATTTCTCCATCAAGTTACATAGACTACTGTAAGAAACCAATGTCATATCTACAGGGAGCAAGGCCACCATCGTGGGTTTATCACCATCGCGGCTTGGACTCTTAGCAAGATACACTTAATTTTCTGGAATGAGAGGAATCTCATGGGGTCAGAAACTGGCAAAACATGACTACTCTCTTAGCTGACCCCCAAAGTCGTTAATTTCTCCATCAAGTTACATAGACTACTGTAAGAAACCATAAAACCACACATACACACACACACACACACACACACACACACACATACAGATCTTCACACATAAACATGCACATGTTCACACATATGTGGACACATAGAAACACAGCAGTTTAGACACAGATACATACAGTGCACCCATGCTGACACAGACATATCATCTGTATAAATCTTCAAGTGGGTGATGGTTACTGTGGAGATGCATAACCAGCCAAGCTGCTGAAAACACCAGTGACTTGCTATGGCACAGAGGCCCAGTACTCAGCCATAAATGGGAAAACATCAGATTTATAAACTTATATGTTGATGTCTGAATTAACATCTGTTTGATGCATTAATTGAGAACTGCCTCAAGAAATCGAAGTCTATTTTTAAATCTAAACATATTGAATTCCAACACTACGGCAAAGAGGAAAAGGGGAAAAAAGCTCTACTGTGCCACACTTGGAAAATTAACAATAGTGTTTTTAAAAATCTGTGCTTCTATATTCTCAAAGTGTGACTGAACTGCCTATGGGTTAACTTCACTGGCAGGACTTTCACTTTTCTTTCATTTATAGAGCTCCAACTTGTGACTAAACAGTGAAAGTGCTGGTGACCAAGTGAGGGCTCTCAGGCCAGAGCATCAACTATTAAATCAGCACCAGCTCCTTCTAGATGAAAAAATCCAGGGCAGCTTGGACCTTGGCTGTTACTCATGTCATGTTCACTCTCTTAGCTGGTTTTCATGCCACATTTAGCATATCATATCACAGAATTTAGATGCCATGGAGAAGAAAAAGACCTTGGGAATACAAATTAAATGCCTTATTCCCCAAAGGGAACATACCAGATATTGAGCTAACTCTACATTTCACCTCCTTCCAAAAGGCTAAGTGTTCTTAGGGATGAATAAATTTCCCATAAATCCTTAGCCTGACCCTGACTGGCTAAAGACATCAGTGCAGGGATATGATGATCCCAGTTGCACCCAGTGTGAGGCACAGCCTGGAATGATCTGTTGGAAATAATTATCTGCATATTTCATATCTAACTTCTTCTTACTTTTATACATGTTTTATAAAATATGTTTATTCTGTGGTCTGCTCCTCTACTCCTTTATGCTGGGGTGAAGGGCATCTAATGTTTCATTTTGCACTAAAAATTGGGCAGCACAGACAGCCTCTTGCATCCCTAAATCCTTTTCCAAGTTGCCTGTATTTGTTCTAGTTCTTCCTCAATGTCAAAAACCGGAATGCAAAAATCCCTGGGTCCACTTAGAAAATTTCAAAATCTTCGAAGATTATTTTTCTGTGTGGCTTTTGGCAAGTGACATAAGTTTCAAGTGCCCTAGTTTCTTTAACTCATAAAATATAGGAAATATTTCCATCTGACCATTATCTAAATCGAATTAATTTCCACGGTGTGAAAATTATGGTTTTGAAATAAAATCCACACCAAATTACTAAGATTAAAAATTAAATGGGATTTGGACTGGCAGCATCAGATGCTTTATTTTGTAAAACAGTTAAAGATGCTGTTATTTTACTTTTAGAACTTTGTGCAGTTCATTTCTTGAAAAAGCAGGACAAACAAGCAGCACTAAATATCTAGATTTAGTGTTAAAACTAACAAATAGAAGATGAAAAAAGGCATATAATTTTGAAAATATTTTCGCTTATCTCAAACATTTTAATATTATCAAGTAGAGCACTGCTTTATTTTGGTTTGTTGAAGAACATTCATTATCCTTTCCCCCACTCTATGAAACATACTTTACTTATTTTCAAAATGCAAATAAATCACACATTCAGAGGTATGATTTAATAAGCAGTCTCTACCTCTGAAATAATATATTAAAATAAATTATGCCTAGCAATCAAAGCAATACACACATTAGCTGAATGCATCTATACAATTATTTTGTTTACTTGGATTTGACTTAGCATGGTTAGGGGGACTAAAAGTAATTTCCATTCTTGAGAAATTTAGAACGGGAAACATGTTCATTTTCATTACTCTGAAAGGCAATGGCCTCGTTACGGAGCTGACATAACTTACCTTGCTTTTGTACCTCTGGTCTCCCAGTTTTAACTGGACAAACATCTCTGTCATGTTCCCTCCTGAGACATTCTTTCCTTCCAACAAAGTTATACTTATAATCCCATTCCAGAGTTGGTTCTTCCTCAGGGACTCTGAGAGCCGAAGGTTACGTATCAAAGAGGACTAAAACAAAAATAAAAACTGCATATAAACAAACTAATTGCTCTTGATTGTGATTCTGGTCATCACAGGAATTCAAGCTTTCTGTGTTTCATCATAAAATTGCTCCCTGCCTGGGGAAAAAGTATCATTCTTTCTGAGTTTTGCAAACTTGGAGTCCCGGCTCTGTGACTTGCTTTCTGAACTTTGGACTCTTAGCAATATAGCAACACTTGAGCATAAGCAGCACTTGGATTTGGCTTTGGTCTGCATTCCCACCCAGATTTGCTCTTTCTTGGAATCCTTGAACTTGGCCTTTGGCCGTATGAATAACTGGAAGGGAAGAAAAGGCATGCTTGGAAATAGAGATCTAAGTTACAAATTACGTCTGAGCATTTAGCAATAATTGTGAATTTATCCACCATATTTAAATCTGTCCTCTCTTCCCTCTATTCCTTGGGCTACTACTAAAAAGCCCCATGTCCTGGTGAGAGTCAAAATTCCAAGTGCAGGTTACAATGGGCTAGTTTGACAAAAGGGCTGTATGAGTCTAGAGGGGGATGGCGTGGGGTAGGGAGGAGGATCTACAAACTATACCTCATAGCACCTGAAACTCAGGAAGGCCTTAGAAGCTAGTAACTTATTTTATACATACCTTAAACTGATTACCAAAAGAAGGTAAACACCTCACATCACATTATTAAATGACAAAGATGGTGACCATATTTTCTTTACTAATTTCCATTGCATAATTTTTAAACATACACAACTTAAAGAGAGTAAGATAATATGGCCAATCTCATGCTCTCATTCATCAGATTCAACATCCTGCCAGTCTCATTGGAGTTCTCCATTCTTTAATTTGTTTAGCTAAAATATTTTAAAGGAAAATCTACATTTGGTTTTATATGACCAAAATGTTACAACTACATTCAATAAAATGAACCAGCCTGCCCTTCCCAATGGTCAAATCCTGTGAATACTCTGATTGCCCTTCTGCCTCATAGTTAAGTTGTTTGAGTAAGGATCCCCACATGATACATGATGCATTCAGTTACCAGAGTTCATTTCCACAGTATTCAGTAAACAAAATGGCACCAGCATAGACATTTTATTTAGAGGAAAAAATAATTGGGACGATAGAAGATGGTGCTGGGCCTCACAGCAAAGCAATGGCTGCTAACTCTGCATATCCATTCCCATCATCCATTTGCTGTGGCTTTGTGATCATTTAGATAACAATTTTCTCAGACATCAGTCGCAATTTATAACAAAACGAACAAACCAACAACAACAACAAAAAAAAAACCAGTAAGTTAGGACAATATTAGTTGCATACTAGCTTACTTGATTCAACCCACATCGCTCCACCAAGCTCATTACATGCAGCAATTCCACACCATGTATTCAGTTGACCATTTTGTAGCAACTTGAAATAAAAAATATTTTAAGAGAAGATGCACTCCCAAACTTTAATCCATGATGATCCTAATGACTTTTCTCCTCAAACATGTATGTACACATACACACACACACACATACAGAGAGAGAGACAGGGGACAGAGACAGAGACAGAGATGGAACCTCGTTTTGAGTTCCCAACATGCAAACAGGAAAAGAAACAGGAGAAAAAATTCTTCTCCCAGCAAACATTAATAATTATTTCTTAGCCCCATTTGCCACTGGGTTCTCTATAAAATATATTCAATAATAAGGAATATGAAATAGCTTAACTTGACTGACTTTACATGTGTTAAAACAACACATTGCACAATATGGACACACATCTATGAGTGTATGCATCTACAGATGTGTGTGTAGACACAGAAGACTCGCTTAACACATTTCAAAGCTTATTAAATGCATGGGCTGAAAACTTCTACCTTTAAAAGGAAAATGAGATTTTGATTCATAGGTCTTGCTGCAATTCCCTTTTTTGCTTTTATTCTTCCTAAAAGTTTGACTTCTACCCAACGAGCTGAAGCATGACCTGTCCCACGGCCATGCTTCAAAGTTCCGACAGATATATTCCTCCCTCAACACTGCAACGATTTCAAAATCCTTTTTATAAAACAGGGAGTAATGTCCACAAAGGATCAAAGGGCATCCTACAGTCTGGCAATCGCCTAAGAAAAATGGCAGCACTTCCATGAAATATGCCCTAAAATAATTTTGCGGCTTGGTATGTCCTAATTTCAAATTGGATGTTTATCTTGGAAAGGCTTCTATCTAACTTGTCCATAAAACAGCTCCACTTAGCTCTATGAGCTCTGTGGAAATGGAATCCAAAGCCGGTTATTAAGGGGTCCTGGAGATGGGTTCCATATGGCGGAACAGCATGGGAGGGCAAGGCTGAGGCCTACATCGGGCACGGCTTGGCTGGAGTGCCTGATCTATCCATGGACACTCGTTGCATTACACAATAACATCTGGATTATGGCTTGTAATGTCCCTGGGAAATATCCACTTTCCATCAAAGCCTTTATCTATCTCAGTTGGACTTTGAACATTTTAGTATTTAACACAGTCATGTTTGATCTGACGGGCTTGCTCCTTTGCTATCCAACTTTTCTTTCTTCCCCCGTCTTTCCTAAAGGCAGAGGTAGGAGAAGAGAATTATTTATTGCAGAGTTGACAGAAAAGAACCTAAAACTTTTACTCTACATATTTGACTTTAAAGAATATTTCATTTGCAAGCCACATATTCTGTGTATCTGTGTGTGATTTAAAGAAGTTTCTTAATTCCTTCAACATTCTTTTCCAAAAAGAAGAGATGGAACAGGGCAGAGCCAGGCATCCTAAGTGTGCTTTATTGCAGAGCCAAGTTAACAAAATCTATTTTGTTCTTCAAACACTCCCTTTCCCCCCACAATAAATCGACTCGTCTGCACTCACTCGGTTAGCTGAATAGCTTGAGTTTTCATGTCTCTGTCCTGGCCTATAAGGGAAATTTGTCATCTTAATGCAGCCTGGAATACGATGGGGAGGAGGAAACGACCCATCAAAGGGAAGCCCACCCCAACTGAGCTGAAACAAACACCCGCAGATAGAGCAAAGTTTCTAGGTCCTGACCCTAATTCCTCCGCAGACATTACGGATAAAATATAGTGCATCAGGGTTGTGTTATTTTCCTCCTCCCTCCCCAGGGATCAGAACCTTTTAGTATTTCTATGTCAATCCATTCATCTCTCTCTCTCTGCCTGGGCCCCCACTTCATCTGATCCACACTCATTCGTCTTTATTCATTTTCATAAAAATGGAGCAAGTCTAACAGGACTCATTTACTTCTGAGTCAGGATAATTCCACATCCAGGGTAGACTGCAAAGTGAGACTGGAAGTGTACGCTATGGAGGTGCCACCCACTTCAAATTGGTGGAAGGATTCATTTCAGAATCTCAAAGGTGTTCTGATCTAGGAAGACTTCACAGAGTGAATGAATGCACTGCCATTCCAGAGTATACAGGATGGACTGCATCCTTGTGGCACGCATTAGTTGAGCGTTCATGCCAAGAGACATGCTGGAGGGAGGATGATGTGGATTCTAGTTCCCTATTTCCTTGGTGTGGCAAAAAGGCTTACCTAGGAAGAATAAACCAGTCAGCTCAGAGTTTCCTGTTTGTACCTAACCAAAAAGAGGGAGAGCGGATTAAGAGTAAGAAAGATGCTACAGGTAGGACATGGAGTTAGGAGCCACTACATTCATCTGCCCCCATTCCTCAGCTCATGTGTTAATGGACACCAGAGAATAACAGAGAGAAGAGCAAAGGATGGAAAGGCAAAGCAAGGCAGAAGGGGAAAGGGGAGTGAAAGAAAAGGACCTGGGGGCATGGCTCAGTGGGTAAGAGAATTTGCTTCACAAGCTTGAGACCCTGAGTTGAATCCCCCAGCAGCCACACAGAAAGCCAGTCATGGCCATGTGCACCTACACTCTCAGCACTGTGAAAGGTGGATGCAGGAAGATGGCTAGAGCTTGATAATGAGCCATTCTCAGCCAAAAGGCTAGCTCCAAGTTCAATGAGAGACCTTGTCACAAGGGAATAAGGCAGAGAGCTGTTGAGAAAGACCCCCAAAGTCTTCCTTGACCTCCACATGGGTGTGCTCACCCCCATACATGTACACATATACCACGGAGTATATACACCACACCCACAAATGAAAAAAAAGCAAGAAAAGAAAATGCATAGAGAAAAAGCAGTGACTAGAGAAGGCATGTGGTATTCCAAATACTGTAAAATAAATATTATTTTGGTGACGGAAGTGTAAGACTATCAGAGTCCTGTGTTGCCAACAGATCCATTATGTTTCTGAAGTCATTGTGACAAAGTAGGTAGCAATGGAAGCAAATGCATGAAAACAATCTACCGCTGTTTGAAAAACGACTAGAAAGCAAGGTTCCAACTCTGGTGACTACTCCTTCACAAAGCAAAGGAAAGCCTCTGTCTATAAAAGGTTTCACTGAAATGTTTCTTTCAAGTGTTTTCAACATGTAAAACTACTGCTCCCTGTCAACAGCTTTACAGCACAGTATGAGGAGATCCATGTGTCCAGGAACGAGCTCTCAGACTGGATCCTCCTGAGCAGATCCTCACATCATCTGAAGAAGTCCCGAGGCATAAATTCTGCTAGAGCCACACAAAAATCCTCACATTAAAAACAAAAAGAAAACCTTTTTTAAATTCTCTACATGTCCATGTACCGAGAAGATGAGCTTGTCAGTGAATGAAACTGCATTGAGCTTCCAAAGATATAAATAGTCTGTGTGTGCAGTTATAAAAGCTCTGTATTAACTTACTAATTTTCATTGTAAGGAAATATTATCACTCAAATTTTCAACTGAAAAATAAAAGGTAAATTAAGCAAAGATTTAATAGATAAATAAGGACTATAAATACCCAAGGAGTCTCTGAATTTAGGATGGGGAAAATAACTTCTAATGTATTTCCTATTACTAAACAGGAAGGAACATATGAAGGTCATGTGACCCAACAAGGTTATCTCTTTGACCTGAGCTATGGGAAGTTCA